AAACATTGACCCTTATGACTGGTTTTGTGGTCCAGGGTCACATGTGAATGAGCACCATGGTTGTGCGCACCTGATGCTCATGGTGTTTTGCCACCTGCCGTCTCGCTATACGAGATGCTACCTGTACTTCATCTCCAGAGATGCTCTGACAGTTCTCAACACAATATTACAATTTCATTTTATATCAGCATTTCATGAACACACAGAAACTCAAAGATCTTAATTTAAATAATAAACGCGGACATAAGTACAGTAACTTAACACAATAAGTAATAATGTTTTTTTGCTCACTTTATTTTAAGGTGCAATTCTCGCCATTAAAAAAAACCCCATTAACTACGACTTTTGCATCAATAACCTCTTAATTGGCTGCTTATTAATAGTAAGGTACTTGTTAAGCTTAGGTATTGGGTAGGATTAGGGATGTAGAATATACTCATGCAGAATCATGTGCTTTATAAGTACTAATAAACAGCCAACGTTAATAATAGTCATGCTAATAAGCAACTAGTTAATAGTGACAATTAGTCCCAACACTAAAAGGTGTTACCACATTTCCCATATCACCATTGTCCTTGTTTTTATTCTAACAAACATTTCTTGTGCAGAAATGTTCATTTCAGTGCTCGTTTCATTTCATTACATTAATTTGATTGTTAAAGGGGTCATATGATGCCATTTAAATTTTTCCTTTATTCTTTATAAAAGTTAAGAGTCAGCCACGCCTACCTAAAACGGCTCATTCTAACACGCCCCCACATGACTATGTCACGATGGGGGAAGATTTGCATAACGCCGCACAAATGTTCACGCAAAAGAAAGACGACTTAACTTTTATTTTCGCTGTAGTATTGTTGATGCCGCCACCATGTCGTGAAGGCACGGTGTGATTCGTTGTGAAAGCGAAACTACTTTGTTTGGTCTTCCAAAAGAGGACGATATCCTCTTCGTCATGCCTAGAGCTGATCCGTGCTGGTCGCTGAGGAAATACTACAACTTTGCACTGTGGATCGCCGGATCGGCTTGCACCGCGGACAAAGCAGAGGCCAGCCCGGGGGCGTCAC